ATTTTGCCAGAAATTTTTAGTATATTTAACCTCGGGAAAGGCACCCCTTCTGTCTCATGGTGATTGGTTTCGTCCTATGCTAATTAAGTAGCTATAAAAGAGTCAATTAAAAAAATTGAATAAATAAATTTTCAAAATTTTAAATATTATTTTTAAAATACAATATAAATTATTTTAATAGATAAGGTGGATGTGGTTTGTTTTGTCCTCTTCTCACTACTTGACCTATGGTATTTTATTTTTTTAACTTTTTGTTTGACATTTTTCTAATTTTTTTAACTTCTTGTTTGACATTTGGCCTCTTTGAGCCAGTTTGAAATTGCTGTGAGAATGTTTAAAGCGCTTTTAATAATAGAGCTGTTATAAAAATGCTGTCAATAAAATACAGTTAAGCGTTTAGTGACACATTGTATAAAGAACTTTTTATACTCGAAACACTTTTAAATTTGTTTGGTAATAATGTTGCTTAAAGCACTTTTATTACTAATTTTACTATATTACCCTTGCACTAAACATATACTAATTCCCTAATATTAAATATTGTAAAAAAAATTTGAGTTCAATAATTTATAAAGATCAACTTGTATTGTTTTTTTTTTTTTTTTTTTAAATATCACATATTTTGTTTATGATATCGAATTTATACTAAGTACTAAAATATAAATGAGTTAAACATATTTTAATGATGATTAATTTGTATCTAATTTGGAATCTTCTAGTAATAAATTAAGCAAATTTGTTCATATGCTATCTAATAATGAAATTTAATAATATAATATTTTGCAATATAGACAACATTTCATAAAATAAAACTAAACACTTTAACCACAATTAATAATCGTATTACTTGTTATTTAAGATAATAGTATAAATGTATTATAGTTATTTTAAAAATAAATTACAAATCATAATTTATTAAAAATTAAACATCTAACAATTATATAATTCAGAGTTCCAAAATAAACTGAGATTGGAAGGCAACTAGAGTCCCAAAATAAATTAGGATTTTACTTTGTTACATAGTCCATATTATTTGCTATTTGTTTGTAGAAGGGAATAGGGATACAATTGTATCTATAAAAAATATAAAGGAATTAAATTATCTAAAAGAAAAGTAGTTACCTAAAAATATGGACCTTTACCATAACGCGATTTTAAAAGCTGCGATTCCCAACTTCACTTAAATGTGCTTTTTATACCTAACCTTTACCATTTATAAGAGCTTTATTTTTTCACCAAACACATTACATCGTAATTTTTTAAAATAAAAATACTTTTCACTAGTAAAAAAGCAATCCCAAACACCTACTTTATCATGTTATAAATTTTCAGTTTGAGTGATTGATTTTTAGGAAGGGTAAAAAGGTAAATGAATACAAGGGTCCTACGTGGGGGGCAGAGCACCAGATTTTACCTAATTTTGGCACCATTTGATTTTTACATAGAGGGATCTGCTTTTCATCAATGAAGCTTCCTGACAACAAATTGACACTCCACTTCAGTAAAGCTACCCTATGACCCTATCCTTCCCCTCTCTCTCTCTCTCTCTCTCTCTCACACACACACACAGAGGGATGATTATAGTAAGTCCTTTTATTGTTCATGGGCTTTCTATCTCATGTGTGAGAGGGACTTGAGGAAGCCCAACTTTATGCTATGAATTGAATGGTCTATACTCTATAGGCTCATCTTTATGTGCTTTAAATACCGAACAAAATGTGTTAAATATTTTCTAAATAAATTATTAACAAAAAAACATTTTCTAAATGCTATTTTTATGTACTCTATAGATGAAAGACCTCTATAAAACCCTTAAAAATAAATAAGTATTTTATAAAAATTGAGTCCTAACTCATAAGTTAGTCTAATTAGAATTGGTTTTAAAAAATTAAATATAATATTTCTTGTATTTAATTGAATCATGTATCATCGGTTATATCGTTATCAACGAGCAAGTTATGAACAAGAAGTATCATATTTCTCTCTCAATTGTAATCAAGAAAAATGCAAGGTGATTTTCCTCATATTTCCAACGTACATTCTTACTAATATTCAACAAAAATTGCATGACTTAATTTGGCTACTTTTTTACTTCTATAATATGATGACCTAATTTGTTTATTTTCAATATAAATATACTCATACGGTTCCATTCTTAGTTGGGCTTATTTCAATATTGTAAGGTTCCATTCTCAGTGGGACTTATTTTAACTTTTGTGTTTTTTTTTTTGGGATGACATTGCGACATGTGACCGAGAGAGTGCCACCCCTCTTCTCTTTGAGCATCTATTATTTTAAGTTTAAAAAATTAAAAAACTTATTTTAGGTCATAAGTCAGGACTTAATTGATTTGTCACTTAAAAAACTATTCTAAAAAATTCAGAATGATGAGGTGGCAAATGTAATGTGGACATATACTTGAAAACTCAAATGCTACATAGTACTGCATAATGTGGATTATTCATTACTTTTTTTTTTTTTTTCTCCTTTGGAGCCGTAGGTTCACGTGACTTTGGACTATGAAGCTAGTTAATATGATTGGCATTCAAACCAAAAGTGAGACATTTGGAGGGCATACTTTAGGATAGAGTGTCTTGTTGCGTTGTATTTTAATAATTAAACAAACTAAAATAGAGTTTTACCGATTTAAAAATACCAAATTTAAGATTACGTCTACCGATTTAAAAATACCAAATTTAAGATTACGTCACCGTTTTGAACACAAAGGTATTTCTTTGTTTCATGTGAGAGAGTATATATATCAATTTGTTCATTGCGTCAAAAAAAAAAAAAAAATTGTGTTCATTTGATGGTTTATTTAAAATGAACTAATAACAAACATTATTATTATTATTATAACATCATCAGGGTACCATATGCATTTCTCCCACAAGGATATATGAAGGCATCCTTAGCTAAAGTTATTAAAAAAAAAATGATTATTTCATTTGTAATTTTATTGTTTTGTTTTGTACATCGTATAAGCAGCGTTACATATTAACCATTTACAAATAAGGTCAGAAAAGTCAAATTTGACTATTGTAAATAAATGTCAGTTGTTTTTAGAATTTGTTGTGTAATGCTAAATTCTACGTAAATTCGAACTTAACTTTTTACGTTTTGCTTTGTGTTTTTTGGTTTGATTCTTTCTCTTTTCTTTTCTTTTTTTTATTTTTTTTACAAATAATAATAATAATAATTAGGGGCACATTTGTCTCAATGAAAAGAGCTTCACAGAGCCCGCTACGAGTATAATACTCCTAGATTTGAAACCCTATTAAAGAGTAAAAGACAGAAAAGCTATAATTTAAATTTATATTTAGATAAATTAGAAAGAAAATAAAGAAATTGAGAATATTGGTGTTTGGATAGGAAAAAAAAAAACAAAAATAATAATAATAAAATTACCATTTTACTTTTTTTTTGGATAGGGTTAGGAGGGCAAAATTATTTGAGCCCTCATCTCTCTATTCTCGCGCTCTCTCTCTCTCTCTCTCCAACTGCAATCTACAAAATTTACAAAAATCAGAATATCAAAACTCATGTCGGCAAAATCATTTCAGCCTTCCCTAATCGCCTCATCTCACACTTCTCTCTCTCTCTTTCAATTGCAATCTACAAAAATCATAATATCAAAACCCAGCAAAATCATTTCAGCCTCCCTAATCGCCTCATCTCTCACCTCTCTCTCTCTCTCTCTCTCTCTCTCCAACTGCTATCTACAAAATCTACAAAAAATCATAATATCAAAACCCATGTCGGCAAAATCATTTCAGCCTCCCTAATCGCCTCATCTGTTACCTCTCTCTCTCTCTCCAACTGCAATCTACAAAATCTACAAAAATCAGAAGATCAAAATCTACAATAGTTATTGAATCGTGCTTGATCTATGTTGATGCACGCTTGAATGTATTTTTTTTTTTTTTTTGTGGATGATGATGATGTTGCCGAGAGTTTTTTGTTTCTAAAACTGTTTTCAAGTGTCAATTTGATGTGAATTTGATTGATTTGGTTTTTGAATTTATGAAATTTTGATTTTTAAAATAGGGTTTATTTATTTATTTTTTCCATAAGGTTTTTCTGCAATTTCGGCGACTTTTCCCGTTCTCAGCCTCCCTCTCTCTCTCTCCAACTGTAATCAAAACCCATATCCGGCTGTCTCTCAACTCTCTTGCCCCTTGGTTGTAATTTGCTTCCTTTCTCTCCAAATCCCTCCAAATCGTGTCAATTTTGGAGGGATTGGGTTTTAGGCTCAATTTGGTAGATTAGGTCTGAAGGGAAAGGGAAGGGGACGGCGAAGGCGACGGAGGGTTATAAAAAAATTGTGTTTGGGTAAAGGTGAACGGTGGAAACGAAAAAGAGAGGAAAGGGTTTAGAGGGTTAACTTATATCTTTAACAGTGAATTTCTTAACCTTTTAAAATTGAAAGGAAATGAAAGGAAAGGAAAAGGGAAGGAGAGGCTTGGTGAGTGATTTCAAATGTCAATTTTGTCCTTATTGGAAACTGATTTTATAGTTGCAGAGAGGGGTGGCGATGGAAATTGATATGGGTTTTGATTTTTTGAACAATTTGATATGAGTTGATTTTTTGAACAATCTTATATGGGTTTTGATTTTTAAAAAAATTTAAAATTGGGTTTTGACTTTTTAAACAATCTGAATATGGATTTTGAAGTTTTGAATCTTGCAAACAAATATATAAACTAAAATATATGAGTTTTGACTTTCCCATCCTTGTAGTAGTTTGTAATTAGAGAGAGAGAAGTTCGGCGTTGAGATCGAGAACAGAGAGATTTTGTAATAGTTTATAGTTGTAGAGAGAGAAGATCGGCGTTTTTATATGTATAAATAAATTTATATTTTAAGCATCTAATATGGAGACAAATATTAAAATATGAAAAGGAGACAAATATATATATATATATATATAAATAAATTTATATTTAAAAATATAAAAAGGTATAATAATAAATTTATTAAAATAAATCTCCTTTCTTTTCTTTCTCCAAACATGATTATTCTCTTTCCCTTTTTTTTTCTTCCTTAATCAACCAAACACAATACCATATTAAAATTATCCTTTTCTTTCCTTCTTAACTAATTTTATCATTTTTCCTTTAAACACACCCTACCAAACATATTGAAAGAACTTGGAGGGATAGATAATCCTTTCAGATCCTTTCCAATCTTTACTTTTTCTCTTCTATTCCCTCCATCCAAACACATCCCTATCCTTCCCTTTCTTTTCTCTCCAAATCCCTCTAAATCCCTCCTTCCAAACGAGCCCAAAAATTAGGTTGTACCGCAATGGGCGAACCAGCTGCTCTTTCACTACCGAAGCGATCGCCACTGCCATGTTCTCGTGCTGTGAAGATTGTGCATCTGGACCACACGGCTCCGTCGTCGATCTCAATCACATCAACGGCCGCCTGGATCTGTGGCGGTTGCGGCGGCTGTTGATGTTTTGAGATCGAGGACGGAGCCGTTGGTGTTGTCGAGATCGACGACGGAGCTGACGTTGATGATGTCCAGGGAGAAGAAATTTCAATGCCCCCTGCTGTACTATTTTACAAATACATTTTGGCCTAACAATTCATCAAGAGCATCGATTTCAAAGTTTTGATGTACAGCTATTGGCCGTGGCGATGGCTTCGGTAGCTGATGTAGCAGCTTATGGTATTTTTTTATGATGGTTGTCTGGATAGTTGCGGTTTGGGAACAAAGGGTGTCTCCCTTAACGATAATTTTAGTGAGGTTCTACGGCATGCTTCAACTCCTTTATTAAACTGTTTCCGCATCAATTTAAGATTTTCCTTCTAATTGTTCATGTGAATTAATGCTGTTTTAAGCCTAAAGTGTTAATTAATTCATTCGTATGTGATAGGTTGTTCATTACTTGTTTATCTTAGCTATATGTAGGGATATAGATATAGATACGGTTCTTGTCCCACAGCTCCGCCCAACAGGTTAAGCTTTTGGGTGGATGTAAAGTGCTCCTGGGAAAGGAGTGATGAAAAAGTTTCATCAGAGATTCTGGTGAAGTTCATTTGCATTGCAAAATGCCACAATAGGGTACCTAATTCTGCTGGGTTGATCACCACTGAGGGCTCGGAATTGTGGAAAGTTCTTTGCTTTCTTTCCTTCCTAGTTGCCCTCAAAATAGTATATGGAGGAGTGCCTGTACTTCTTTGATTATGAGTGAAATGAATATTTTATCAAGCATTACATAGTTAAAAATTAGTTTATAATAGAAGAGAAACATCAATTATTGTTTTAGTTTTTGTTAATTAATTCTTGTAGTTTTTGTTTTGGATTGCGAATCTGTTCTGCTCTGGATTATCTACTTTTACTTGGTTACTTCTATCTGTTGCACACTCCATTGAGCTACCTGTAACTAAATTTTAAAATCACAGAGTTGTTTGACTAAGGCTGTAGATGATATTGTTAAAGAGTTACGAATGTTAAATATACATGCTGAACCTGATTTAGGAGGAAAGCTTTTTTAGATTATGACCAAATGATTTATTTTGTTGGTAAATCTACACGTCCCCTATGCTGTAGCTTCTTTTTTATCTGTTAGGGATATGTTAGCTAAATTTGAGATTGAACTTTCTTCTTGACCCATTTCATGCAAATGTCTTGTTAAAAATATATGAATGTTTAGAGTTGGAACTCGGTACCTTATCAATGGAAGAAAATTGATCACTTGCTGGGGGAAAATATTAGCATCAGATCAACCTTTGGTATAAAAATTGAGCTTATGTCCAAACAAAGCTTTGGTTGATTATTTGGACACAATTATTAGGTCTGAAAATTGGGGGATTAGATGAAAGTTGGGAGAAGCTAAACAATGTTAAAATGGGGTAAAACTCTCTTGGAATATCGAATGAGCTAATTAGGGAGCGGGAGAGGTTGAAGTGGCTTTAAGTTTTTTGTAGGGAAGCCATATGATCCCTGACCATGGAGTGGCTTCAACTTTGTAAGTTCTTGGAGGAAGCTCTCTTCACCTCTTGGTGTAAACTTGACTCTGCTTGCTTTCCATCCCTGTTCTACAATTCCATTGTCAATATTTTCTTTTTTGAGGTATCATCTCATCCAACAAGTTTTTGGTATCATCCATTGCTAGTATGAGCCCATAGGCTGACAAATGACAGAAAGAGATGCTAGTAAATCATAATCAACATGAAATTGCAGTCACTTTCCCTACCATGAAAGCAATTTTTTTTTTTCTTAATTGGTACTCACGCACATGCCTCCACTGAGGCTTGAACCCCTTACCTCCCTTTAGGTAGTAGGGGTATGGTACCACTAGGCCACTGGCCTGTTGGTGAACTAAATCTCCATATGGAAAAGTTTACTTAGTACAGTCTTTGATAACTTTAGGTAGAAAGTTGCAATTTTCAGGCTTCCTTTAACTTGATCTTGAACTTAAATTTGGCCAACTAGGAGAATGGATTAAGACTGAAATTAAAATGTGTTCAAGCCTAGAACTTAAGGGTTAGCCCAAAACATTTAAATATAATCTAGGGTTGATGATCAAGGCATAACACATATCATGCATCATTATCTACAAAAACGTTGGAAGCTTTGATTTGTGATGCCGACTGGGTACGTTCTATTTATGAACTGAATGAAGTATTAAATGTAAGTATTCATTAACTTTTTAACATAATTTCTATTTTCTTAAATTTGACTTTAAATTGAAATATATATATATAGAACAACATAGGACATAAAGGAGATACAATTACCTTAGTCATCCAACAAATCAATATGATTTCTTTTGGTAAGTAAATTTATTATTTTTTTTTTCCCATTTGTATAGATTATTAATATACTTAACAATATCCTGATTCTTAATATTATTCTCTTTCATTTAATGTGTAGGTTGAAGCTTTTTTGGTGAAGGAGATACAATTGCCTTAGATGTGGGATTTACTTTTGCTGTTGCTTTGTTGTAATCATGGTAGTTTATAACTAATTTTGTCATTCACTATCAGAGAAGAGGATTGGAAATACCTGCTATCTGTCACCTCTGGTCTAGATGATGATAATAATTTATTTTGCCTATGAGAAATTTGGGGGTTTCAAGGTGGAGGACCAATGTCCCAAATTCTCAACTTGGATGAAGAAATGCATGGAGAGAGAGGTTTATGAGATAGTAATCATGTTGAGGAAGATGTATGGCATTGAGTGAGTATTGGATGTGCAAGTTTTTGGCTTGTGGTTGAATCTTGTTTTTTTCCCTCTTAAGTTCTTTTTTGGTCTTCTTTTGGGGTCCTTGATTCTCACTAGAAGAGAAAAATAAAGGGAAGAAAAATAAAGGATAATAATCATTTTCCTTGATGTTCTTAACTAGTTTGATGTTTGTGCTAGAGTAAAATAAAAGGAAGTGGAAAATGAGTGAATGCTGTAAAGTGATGGTAATTTGATTGTTTGCTTTCAGTTCTAGAGATCTTTGATGTATGACGCCCATCAAGTATGTTATTTAACCACAACAAAGCAAATCATAAATGTTATTCTCACCTATCCGTCTTACACAATTATATATGGTATATATTACAAGACAGAAATGTCATATTTTCATTAATACTTTTAAGTTGAAGTGACAATACATTAAGTAACATCTATTATTATACAATAGAACTTGTGAATATTCAGGACACCGGTAGTAATTTTTCTTGCCAAACAAAATTAGGTGCTTATTTTTTTTATCAAGGAAAACATATAGTGAATATTCATTGAAAAAAAGTTTCTACACAGCAAGTATATTGGATATCTAATGAAAACATATGGTGAATATTCATTGAAATAAAGGTTCTACATAGTAAGTATATTGGATATCTAATGAAAACATATAGTGAATATTCATTGAAATAAAGCTTCTGCATGGTAAGTATATTGGATATCTAATATTTTTCATGTGGTCTGGAGGAGTGAGTGATGTTGGTCTCAATAAATGAAGTTATGAAAATAATGTGAAAGCATTGAATAATTTATAATAATTTGTAAATCTAGTTCGGCTAATTGTTCTCCGATAGCACCTGTTCCAGTAGAGATTTCTCGACTTCGAAATGTATCGAAGCCTTGGGTACTAAAAAAAAAAAAAAAAAAAAAAAAAAAAAAGGATGGGATGATGTATTTTTAGGATTAGATTTCATATTCAAACAAACCTGAAAGTGAGTGTTTTAACTATAGGCCTAGGAAAAGAAAATTTAGGATCCCCGCAAAATCGGACATAAAAGATTACTTTCATCTGGCTCAAGTAGATATGCCAAATAAAAATAAAAGAACGGAGTTTTGAACTTTCAAATACTAGAAAATCCCCCCAAAACAAAAGATGTACCCCATACTCAAGTTCTCAAACCAAACAAGATTTAATTGACAAATGAGATGTCTAATCATTCCTTTCACACAATTTTTATAATGTGAATTATCATTTATTGTAACAAACTTCCTCATTGACACTGTTCCCGTAAATCAAATCATGTACTAAGACAAGTTGGCTACAATGAATCCTGACCGCATACATATATTCATTCATGATATATATGTATGTATAGAGAGCATATAATATGATGGCGGTTGGTGCAGCAACTTTGTAGCATATATGTCTGCTATCCTTTGTCAATAAGGACAACCTAATGTTTTGTAACATCTTCAAAGAGCATGTGGACATGTTGCCTATTAAATTGACCCATACTAAATGAAAATGTCAGCATAGACCCCTTAGGTTTCCTATGCCACACAAGTAGTCCTTGGTTAGTGACTATAACCTTTTATGTGAAAGTGACCCCCACCCCACACACACACACATACTAGTCCAAAATGTTTCATGTCTATGATATAACACAATCACCCTTTGTTCTCTATGTAGAAGCCACCCACATGACATGATCTATAGTGATTTTGTGATCCAAGAAAATGCATTCATCCTAACCTAATAATAATATCATGTGTGTGTGTGAGTGTGAGTGTGAGTGAGAGAGAGAGAGAGAGAGAGAGGTGGGTGGGTGCCAAGGATATATACTTTGACAGCACAATAGTGGTGACAAATACTAGCACCATGTCTACTACAGTTAGTGAGAAATGCCTACACTATGTTTGGCCAAATTGAAGTGTCAACATAGCCCCTTCACTGTTTCTTTTGATAAGTACTTGTCCTGGGCAGTGACAGCCATTTATGTGAATGACCCACATAGCCCAAGACCTTCGATATCCTTGGGAAACACACCTAGCCTTGTTCTCTATGAAGAGGCCATCCACATGGTCCAAAACTTTTTCTATCCTGAAAAATTGTAGGCGCCCGATAAAGTGCAGTAACATCAGCGTGGCACGATCACTCATACATATAACACGATCACATGTGTTAGTGATTGTGGCCATCCATTCCAGTATAACACGTTGTACTAGAGGATCTGAATTAATAAAATGTATTGACCCTAATTGTGGCCATCCATTCCAATATAACACATTGTACTACAGAGGATCTGAATTAATAAAATGTATTGACCCTAACTCAATGTGAAATTGAGGGATTGAGATATGACTAAAGCCCTAGAGGTAGCAAAGCAATAACTACCATCCTAGATGGTCTAAATCACTCGTGCGTGTGATACGATCACACGTGTAAGTGATCATAATCGTCCGCTACAGTACAACTATATATGATTTAATCTCACATAATATATTCAACCTAACTCAATGTGGGTGAAAGAGATAAACATGACTAAAGAGCACAAGGGATGGCCAAGCAATTACTACCGTCACTATATAATACTAAATGGTCACTATCACTCATGCGTGTAACACAATAACACGTTTAAGTGTTCATAGCTGTCACTATAACAAGCGTGTGCAGATAATTTGAACTCACATAATGCATGCACCCTAACCCTGTGTGTGTGTGTGAGAGAGAGAGAGAGAGAGAGAGAGAGAGCTGGAGAGAGACATGACTAGAGCACTATGAGATGGACGAGCAATTGATACCATGTCTAATAGAGTTAGCGAGAAAAGCCTACATGATGTTTGGTTAACGTCTTCGGTGTTGCCATATACATGTGGACACTCGGGGGACAATCCAAACATGGACCTACCCGGCATCATCACCATTGTGACTTCACAAATTAATGCCCATCTTCAAGATTGTATTTAATAGATACCCCGACCCCAATTTCTCGCTTAATCAATAAATAGACCCACCAGATAAAAAATAATAATAATAAATAGACCCACACTTCGGGTGTCCGCATAGGAAATATTTAAAAAATTGCGTTTCAATCTAATATACTTATAAGGTTTTATACTTTTATAGAAGATTTGCAAATCAATACCCTACAATATAAAAACTAAATAGTCAAAGTATTGAGACTTTTTGAAATATTCAATTTATATTTTGGATTAATTGCATAAATTTTTCTTGGTTACAAACATTAGTGAATCTAATTACCGAAAAAAAACATTAGTGAATCTGTATATTTGTTATTCAGATGTTTTTCCTACTTTCATTGAAGAGATGCCAACTAGAGATTGTAATTGCCTATGCTATGTTTTTAATGAAAGTTTTTTTTTTGCCTTGGAAAGAAAATAAATAAATAAATAAGCTAGTATTTTAAGGGGGTAAGGTGCAATTTCTTACCATTCAAATTTTTGTACAATTAATTTTCGGTTATGTTCTGTTGCATGGAATTGGAGTTTTGGAATTAGAGTTTGTGGAATTGGAGAAAAACATTTTAGAAAATTGAACCAATTTTTTTTTCAATTCCAATTCTATGCCGTAGAACAAAGCCTTAATATGAAAATTTTGACACACATCTAACAAAACCTATCTATGGTTATAGTGTTTTCTTTCTAATATTTTTATTTTTATTTTTTTTAATTCTTGAAAATCAAAACAAACGTATAAGATCATGCATTGCCCCTCTCAGAACTAGGGATGGCAACGGGACGGAATTGGGGTGAGTTTGACTAAATTCTACTCTGCCCCATTATAAAATCCGTCATACCAACTCCGCCCCTACTTCGGAATAGGTTTATAATTGTTATCCCATCTCTGCCCCTACTTCGACAGACAAAGTACCGACTCTGCCTTGCGTATTCAGTTTAATTGTAGGGCGGGGGCAGATTATGCCACTTTTATTATTTAGTAAAAAAAAAACTAGCCAAATGTGATCAAATTGGACTCATAAATAAGCTCGCTCAACTTTTAAATTACAAAAAATAAAAATGAATATTTATATGTTAAATACACTTAACGCAAAGTGACATGGGTCTCAAAAATATTAAATATTATATATATATATATGTAATTTTTAAAGGTACACATATAATCAGGGCGGGGACAGGTTCATGACTAAATCCGCCTCCACCTGAAACCCGCTTCGAATTTTTAATTATTTTATTATATCCGTCCCAAACTCATTTAGGGAGCTATCAAATTCACCCCATGTGGAGCAGGGCGAAAAGATCGGAGGAAATTACCATCCCTACTCAGAACTCAAACCCTCACCAACCTTTTGAAAATGATAGATCACATCAGCCAGACCAGTGATCCAATTCCATCTAATGAATTTTTTTTTGAAAAAAAAAAAAATCATTTTAAGGTGTATTGTGCATATTTTATAGTTCATGGTAAGTGGTGCAATTGATCCAATTTCTCAAAAAAATAAATAAATAAATAAACAAATAAATAAAATCAAAACATTAAGAGATAAGTGTACCAGTGCTCGCCCCACCCCATTTATGTTTTATTTTTTTGTTATTTATATAAATAAATTGATAAAATCTATAAATTTTATACAATGTAAATTATGATATACGTATATATACATGAACACAATAATTTGCACACACACACACACACACACACACACACACACATATATATATATATATATATATATATATATATATATCATTTGTTTTTATTTTTAAAATAAAGTGTAAAGAGTGGGGCAAGGCGATATGGGTTTTTACCCGTCCCATAACCCGCGACGAGTTTAAAATTAAAATTCATACCTGTCCCTACGGTATATAAACTATTATCATATTCATATCATTAAAGATATGATAGACCAGGCTTCGATGGTGGTACAAATTTTTTTTTTCAAAAAGTTATTTTTTTTTTTAAGTGAAAGGGACGGTGGTACAAATTGTTATCCCTAATAATTGAGGGCATAGCAAACCTTATTCATTGTACTTATCCCAAAAAAATCAAAAATAAAAGTAACAATTTATATCAAATTTGAAAGAGTCTCAATATTGTTTATCCAGCAACCAATTATTATCATAGGGATCCACTCCTCTCATCTCCAGACTATTCTTTTCTTGATCAACCTCCCCAGAGA